AAGATCTGTTGTGTTAATGAAGCTTCAAATTCTATAGAACATGAGTTTACTTAGCTACGAAGAACGAAGAATATACGTTTGATCTGAAGTGATTTGTATGTGAAGGACAGTGATTCCGTTTTATAGTCTGCAAAGTTTACCACACAAACGAGGAATATGCAGATACACAGATGGAAATTCAGTACTGCAGATTGATTTTATATTGAAAGTTTCCTCAACTACCAGACACCCAGTCATCATTCTGAACACCAGTTGTATATCAGATCATTTTTACAGGGTGTACCATTTAAAACGCAACTAGTGGCATTAATATAAAAAAGACAAAGAGCTGTTTTCTTGTGTTTCTTCAGCCTGGTGGAACGTATCATCTGTCAGAACTGTTCGACCTCGGACATAATAAAAGTCGCAAATTTTTCCCGCGTCCCAAAATGTTCGTACCATTCCGAATTTTGTTGAAATAAAAAACATCTTGAAAACTGTTCATCGTTTTAATACAATTAATATAAGCTGTTTCGGTGGCTGGACTCAGAAATAGGAATGTAGTCGAGAAGCCTTGTACACGATAGCATAATTATTGTGGTTATTTTAATTGAAATAATCGTTCGGAAACAAGAGTTTGTTCGTATTTTTTGAAAAAAATTCGAACACGCTTCCATATTTTTTTTAAAACAGACTTTGAAATTATTTGATAACGTTGTTAAACTCATGTATTCATATTGTTAAACAAAAGCTTAGTAAACAGGGCACGGACATATTTTATCCAGATCAGTTTTCTGCGTTATAATTCGTAATGCAGAAACACAGCTTTCTTCACTGTGCAACATTGTACAAGTTAACTTCCGTATATGATCGATAAAGCACTTCAATATTTAATACCTCATCTGATATGCTAGCAGATGCTGAGGTTATGACGAGTAACACAGTTATGAATTCGTAATTTTGCTATTAATAACTCATAACTCCACACATGGCAGGCACACTGTAAAGTGCATGTAATGCCATAGTTACATGGATGAACTTAAGAAGAACATAGTGATACTAGATTCTGACGAATGACGTAAACTTTTTAAGTGTTTTTCTTTTGCATTATATTTTTGTTCTCCCCATTTATATTCTTTCTTGCTTTTGCACCGTATCGCTGTTGATGGCTTCCAACATATACGGGAGTTTATGGACCTCTTTCGCCACGTTGTTTTATGTAAGACGTAAATCAACACACAGGAAACGGACTAGGAGGGAAAAAAGAAAACTTCTAGAGCAAACGTGTAGAACTGTGTGTGTGTGTGTGTCGCTCCTGATGTCCATTCGTCTATTCGTTCATTTTAGATCATTCTTCCGGATCGTCTCTCCTTTCTTCATCCTTTCCTTGTTCGCTTGATCGCGTTTTAAGATGTCCGTTGAATGGGAAATGCTTCTATTGATGACAACACTGATGCAAAGAACAGACCGACCAGTGTAATAGCTTCACCAGAAATGTCAGAGTCCACTGTAGCGGAAATCACGTTAGAATACTCATAAACAAAACATTCAATCTAGCTTGGTCCGTACAAAATTAATGAAATATATTTTATTGTTATTATTGTCGTTATTGTTTTACCAGATACTGCAAAGCTGGAGCTGATTTGGGTGACACATTTAGTACTTCTACGTAAATTTGTGATGATAATGCAACAAATACATAGTCTATGTTCGATAAATCCTGTGCCCAGTGACTGTCAAACTTTTATAAGACAATCGAACTTATGCTGCTTATCTGTGCTGGGACCATGATGACAAATCCTTAAGAGTTCCTTAGGTTTATTTAAGAAATGGAGTCCGTAAATCTTTAAGAGTTTCTTAGGTTTATTTAAGAAATGGAGTCCGATTTTTTAAAATAATTCCGAAAAATATTTGTTTAGGATTTAGTACTTTTAAGCCTTTTATTTTGTTCTTTAATTAAGACAGTCATTGTTCTGGAATTCAGTATATCTGAGTACTGAACCAACTGCCTGCTGAATTAGACCCTAAATAGGAATACTCTAAAGATCCTTCATTGAAGCAGTGCATTTTATAATTTTTATTATCGTGTTTCACCAAGTATAATTTTGTTTAGTATAGTGTATTCATTACTCTTCTTATTCAGTTTTTCATCCAACCTATTTAATTTAAAAATCGTACACAATATTTATATTGAATCAAATTATTTAATAAATGCCATTGTTGTCTCTGAACTTACGTAATTTAAAATTTGAACACCATATTTACATTGAATTAAATTATTTAATGAATACCAATGTTTTATTACAGTACTTATTGCATGTCTTAATTTCATCACCATTGCCAATGTATTTATTCTTTCAATATGTTCTATGGACTCGTGAATAAATTGGCAAGCACGGAACGTCTTTTCTGTTTTCTTGTCTTACTCACTGTTCGGAATCTGAGGAAAACATTTACACGACTAGCTCTATCGGTAGGCAGATATTCTTCTAGTGCGAACGTTTTTGGAACAAGGACGAAAACATTAATATTACAGCTGATAAAAGAGAGGTCGGTTAGATGCATAGAATCACTCCATTGATGAAGTGAGTAAGTATTTCCCAAACACGACACCAAAAATTGCACACCTGTGTGTGAAGGTCCATTAGTATTACTATCAGTGCATCTTAACATAAAATTGGGCAAGTGTTGAAAGGAATACATGACTTTCTTTCTAGTCTGTGCAAGTCAAGCTAGCAATTCGTCCACTTATTTATTTATTCGAATATATATATATTTGGTAGTTAGATTTAGATTTACAACACAAAATACTATTTCGCGATTTTTAACTTGTTTGACGTGTCCTTCCGAATATTTAAGTTTTCTTTTCTGACCCGGATGTTTTGTTTAAACTGTAATTTTACCGATCACGTCTACTTATACATTCTATCTGTATTTACATGGAGAATTTCTAGATGATTCCCAAAATCTAATTTTAATACTTGTGCCTTACACGCATGAAAACAATATGGATTTCGACTTTGGCCATGAAAAGCCAGGAAATTATTTGAATCTGAGTACTACCCTTTCTTGTTTGCTGTTCTTTCCGTTCTTCAGACATTCAATTATCCCATTGAATGTGCCCTATATAATGGAACGGGTTATTATAGTAATGATTAAGGTACATATAATAATTAATTACCAGATAAAACGTGTGAAGGACGAAAGTGACATAGAAAGCTATTATGTAACGCTCTGGAGCTAGAAAAATGTGTTAGAACTGGTTCATAACATCACTATAGTTGAGGGACAAAATATTATCACTTAAAATTACATTTACATTTCTTTACTTTTGTAGTTAACAATTATTGTTTGATTATAAATTGTTTTTATTCATTTAAAACAAATCAATATTATCTCCAAAAGGAGCTGTACACAAGACGTTGATTAAATGGTCTGTTCGGAACTTGAGCTCACCTTACAAGTAGGAGCATACAAAGGTAGTATTTGAAAGCGGAACTCAAGTAGTCACAAGTAGGCATAAAAGAACATCAGAATATAACTACTACTCTTTGCAAAATGTGAAGTTGGAAATTACGACTGTAGAAATCAACATCTACAGTTTATTGTTATTGGAATCTTGCCATATAACGTAACAGTATCTGTAGATCTCTGAGGGTAACGTACCACACCGCTGAAAGAATTACTCAGTACAAAAGGCTGATTATTCTGGTTTTTAAATAAATTTCTTAGGAGAAGAGAGTGTTGAGGTATTGATTTAGAAGACCCTGCATTTTAGTCCTTTCCAACTTAAACAGTTGTATATCTTGCATGTTTGTGTGTTTAATAAAGGAGAACCGAATGAGGTGTTAAATTGGGTCAGTTACAGTTTCTGCCTTCCGTACGAAAATCTAGACGCAGTAACGTAGGTGCTACTATTCAGCGGTAAAGGGAGAAACTTTCAACATTAGTTAAAGTTACCACAAGACCGTTTGTAACTGCGAGTGAAGGAATAATATAGTTGTACATGAGGTAGGCTAATGAAGAATTCCATGCTTTATAAATAAACTATATCCCATAAAGTTTTAAAATACAAAAAATGTTGCAAAATTGAGACACTTTTGAAATAAGAGAGCTTAAGACTACTTTTTTGCTTTACGATTATGCATTCATTTCAGTTAATTTTCGTACCTGCATTTGTGAACGATGCGGCACATAAGACGTGAAAAATGTGAAATTTGAAATTGTAAAATCTCGAAATATTTTTTTCGCATTTTTTTAAACATTTCAAAAGAATTTCTCAAACCTATTTTATCATGTTGCTTGTAGTTTATACTAAGAAAGGTCTGTGTTGTTTGGAGATTTTCGGTGGAAAATAACCTACAACTACGTAATATTGTTTAAAACCAGTTAGTTTGATTCGAACGCTGCGTTTTGGATAGGTTTCCGTCTCATCCACACACACACACAAGACCAATTCAAGATCCTCGATTTATAAGTTTTGTGGTTTTTATAAATACAAATATTAGGTTGAAAACTTAGTCTCTCGCCTTTCATAAATTGTAGGCAAGTATCTACTACTTACTTTAGAAGTGTGGTTTAATGTGCTGTGAGAATGTTGGTTGTGATGTTATGTCAGTTCTTCTGTAAGAATTGAGCATATATGATTTTTTAATGACTGTAATCACCCACAAGACTGCATGATGTAAGAACCCATAGAAACATAATTTAAAAGTTGCGATGTATGAAAACGGCCTAGTGAGTTTAAAATTTAGTTTCAAATAGCCTATACAAATAATTCCATTTTGTAAGATTGGTTTAATACTTACGAATAGTACAATTTTATGTATCTCGTCATAATCCAAATGGCGTTAATACTTCCTGGCAGTGTATTATAGCACATGGTTTACAAATTTAACAATTTCATTACTCTGGATACATTTTTAACGCTAACACTTTTGCTGCCCGAATACGTATAAGAAGGTAAGCCACTGTCAGTATATATTTCATGATTTCTTTAAGTAAATTTCTACTTGTTTCAGCTTCAGCCAACTTCTTGCAATGGTTTAGATGCGCCTAATGATTTAAAGCCGAAAACAAACATTTTATCAGCTGACTGGTAAGTCACCAAATATATCCGTAAATCATAAAATATATCTGCAATACTAATCTATAGAAGTCATCCTAATCTGTAATAATGTTCTTAAATTTTGTTGTGTGTTGTTATAACTGCTTGAGCCAATTCGAATGTGGAATGAAGTAAAACTTTCAGATCTCTAAGATGATTCTGTTATTTTGTTGAGTGGGAATAAAAATACATAAATAATAGATCAGAAACACTCTTCTAGACCAGTAAGGTAGTATTATTCAATTCAATTCTTCATTATTAGTTATTATAGAAGTAAACAAATAAAACAAGAAGACACGAAATCAAAATCAGCATCAAAATCTTAACATCATTCTAAGCTAATTTATAAATTATTTGATAAAAGAAGAATACATTCTAGAAATGGTTCTTATGACTTAGCTAGGAAATTATTAACCCGTTTTATTTCCAAAACATCAAACTATTTTTCCACCTACTTTGTTCCAGTGTTAAATGCAGTATAGTAAGTAGAATGTAAATTGTAAATTTTA